AATTTTGAAACAAACTTTTTATCAAGCTCCAATGGCTTAATGGTTTGGGATACGGACTACCGTTCTTGTAGTCGAGGGTTTGAATCCATTCGACTATTTTGAACATATCCTAGCACAAGCCTCGAGCTTAGTTGGATTGGTGAAAATAAATATTAGTGAATTAACAAAAATCTCGTTAATAATTTTTTCATCAAAAAAAAGAAGACTAGTGATCAAATAGTTAAACGGTCTGATTTCCTCGATCTAAAACCACCTCAAATTTAATATCAATTCATAGTTCATGACATCAAGTCATAAACAATAAATTTATTAATTCTATACGTTGGTATTATCACATTCAAATGTTGATTTTTAAAAATGAGAACACAATACAATATTTTGTTTTTAGTGTATTTTGTTTGGAAGTCTGTTTTGTTTGATAAGTATACAACCATTCAGTTTTGCCAAACATATTTTAAAATAACAAAAAACAATCGTATTTACACAGTATTCAGTCGTAGAAAGTGAAATTGAGATTTTAATTCAGATCAGTACGAAAATCTTAAAAACGATCGTATCATGTTTATGATAGATATATGATAGATTGGAGGCACTTTTCTTACCTTTTTCTTGTGGGAAGATTCTTGGAAGATAAAAAAAGGAACTTACCTAACTATTAGTGTTTTCACTGCACGGAACAACTAGATGAGAACAGTTTTACGTTCTTATCATTCTCATTAAAACAGGGATAACAAGAATAGTGAACACTGAAAAAGTTAAGTTACACCACGTATACCGTTGACTAAACTATCGCACAACTGTTTAGTCGCGCTTTGATTCCTATGAGCTTATATGGAGGTATACCTCAGTACTCGATTTTTAGTTGTGTGATGTTTAGTTCTTGTGCGATAAATCCCTAAAAAATATAGTAAAATTAAATCATTAGTAAATCTCGAATTATTCCAATATCGTTCGCATGTAGGATTTTATTATATCCTAAATAGATCCATGATTTAAAGATTTTGAAGCATCAGATTATGCATTATTATTATCATAATAAACACAATAGTAGACATAATTAAAGAATCAACAAACCTAAAGACAGGTTTAAAACGTCCATCAAATCATTAATCGACGTTTGATGTGATACAATGATCATTAAATATTATTAAGGTGATAAATTTAACTCACATTTTATGTTGAGAGACTTTAAATTAACTAACACGAGAATAAATTTTACAATTCATATTAGTCGAACGTTCTGACGAATATAAAGGTCAGGAGACGAGAACTTAATGTTCTTGACCTTTCCGAATTTAATTACTAAAAGAACATTTTCAATATTAATCAAACATCAAGAAGCATCAAGAAAATATTCATTAAGTCAATTGTTGATTAAAAAAGTGTATTTTATTTATTAAGAATAAAATATCATTATGTATTACTAACGTTATTCCTCACATGAAGGTTTGTTTCCAATTCATTTACCTCCTAAGTTTAATGGCTTGAAAATATATAGCCTAAAGCGTAACGTAAGTGTAGGGGTTTTTATTTAAAAAAATGTTTTAAAAATATGTTACTAATTGCTGACATCTTAGACAAGAAAGAAGTGTGTGTTTACGCTTTATTACAATAGTATAGAAGTATAGATAAAAACTACAATATCCATAAGTACCTTTAAAGAAATGGTTAACCAACCTACGTAGGAGGAGCTTGTCGCTTTGAAAGAGAACAAAATCGTTTACTGTCATTCAATATAGTTGTTTGTAACCGTTAGCTATTGATGACTACAGAAATAGTAATTAACTAATTAAGTAGCAAATACTCGACGTTTTTGCTGAATCATTACAAGCAATACCGTTGCAAATAACACGTTGAACCGTTTGAAACGTAAATATAGTTATGTAGAAGTCAAACGAAATGTAAACCGTGTAAAGAAAGGAATGCAGAATTCATATAATTAAAGTAATTTACTGTTAGTATGTCAATATTTTACTATGACTCTACTATTCTATTTACACATTTTATATCATTAGGAGACAAAAGACAGCTAACGCCTATAAACAAGCGGAACAGATGCGATGGTCCGCACACAAAGAGGATATTTCTAATCTCTATTCGTCCTTCGTTTTCGCCAATTTTCTTACTAGTTAATGATGCCCGGCGCATCAATAATTTCCTATATAATATGCAGTGCTACTTATCTCTCATTTTCCACCATTTGGAATGTTCATTATTTGATGGTAATACAATAAATAAAAAAAGTGCGTATACCGTAGATTCATCTAGTCATTTAAGACATTTGCAACACAAGAACTGTTGCGAATTGGCAGTCGAACGATATCTTACGCCACTCAAAGTATGAGGTGTGCAATAAACGATTCAAGGTCTTGGCATTCTGCCACTGCACCAGCAGAATGCGCAAAACTTAAAAACTTAACCCCATCCGTGACTAACCTATGCTGGTACTGACTGTAATTAATCAAGTCTACACTTCGCTGAAATGTCGTTCCAAAAATAGCTTCAACGATACATTTCTTACATTTAAACGTATATTTCATACTAGTTGTTACGCGCGTCTTTGTCTACGTGGAACTAATAAATAGTAAAATAACATACCGGTTGTTACTCACTGATAACGTAGCTTTTTAATAGCGAAAGAATTTTTGAAATCGGTTCAGTAGTTATTGATTTATTTCAATACATACAAAAATCCAAAAATACAAATCTTTACGAATAGTATATTAGTAGAGACAAAACCTAACTAAAGCGTATAAAATAAGTTAACGCAAGATATAAATATCTAATATAGAAATGTACAAATCAATTTTTTCTGTCTCGATTAATGTGTGCGTCATTTCTGTTCCAGTGAATATTAAAAAAAGTATACCAACAACGTAACTAACCTAACCATCTTTATAACATCATCTCGGCTCATAAACTAAGATAAGACGCTATAAAGTAAACCATAGATAACATCAAGGGGCAAGGTTACCCTACATGCATTGTCACCTTATCTAGCTTTAACAACCTCCATGTGTTTGTACTATAAACTTTAAGACACCTTTTCGTCCCTTTGTTGATAGGAAACTTAAACAACGTGATAAGCAATGTGTACTAGAATAGGCAAGATGGAAAGTATTCCAAAGAGAAATCGTCCGAAAGAGGACGCTGTTTGTCTCGGGTACCTTATTGAGGGCGCAAACAAGAGTTGTTAACACTTTTCGTTTGTGTTAATTTGCTTATTCACTGATAAGATGAGGGATCTGTGTATACTACCTTAACAATGTTATACAGGTTTCATATTTTTTAAAATCATTGTCACAGAGTAAAAAAAGACAGAGAGAAGCAATTTCAAAAATAGGAATTAACGGAATTAAAACAAAATAAAATAGTTCAAATCTATGGATACTTTAATATTCGCATCTTATCTGAAGGATAAAACCTTATTGTCCTAGACTAAAGGAATTTTATCCATTCTTTTTACGTAAAACTTTGTATGATTGAAATAAATCCAGGAATACATCCGCGAATGATTCACCTCACTAACCAGTTCTGAACTAACGCGAGGAACCATCATATTTAGCTTACCGGTCGCTTTCCTTAAGTAAATAGACATTTTAAAAACGTATAAAGACTAGTTTTTCTCGCGAATCCGTCCGCGTAGAATTAAATAACAAAAGAGAGTAGCATATGTGTTCTTCCAGACTATCCTCTACATCTACACTAAATTTCATCGAAATCCGTTGAGCTGTTTGGCTGCAAACTCTAACAAACATTTATCAATCTAAACTTTCGGATTTTTAATTTACATTTCAGTAACCGCTAATTATTTTTACATAGTACGTCTCTCTTAATATTCTCAGTGTGTACGAATTTAATTTATTTTTCTTATTGGAATGTATTTGATTCCATTATAACTTATTTTACACAAGTAATGTGTGCTGTGGTCTATTATAAGAACTCCCAGTTCCTTATTTAGAACGACAACGCACGCAACCGTGTGATATTCTCTAGATACAGGACAGAGCTGCAACCTTCCAGGCTAAAGTACATCATTATCAGTAATTACGTACCTTTAAAAGCCTGTTAATAGTTCAACGTTCACTGGTTTTGGTTTACAATCATTATGGTCGACAAATTACAAATCTTTTTAACACATTCCATTTACTAATTACATTGATTGGTGCTTTTGTAGCGCTTTTAAATTGCAATAATTGACTTAAACTCACAGAGTTGTTAAGTAGCCAATAAAGGTGTACCTTAGTGTAGAATTCCCAATTCTCATACACACAATCTTTATTTAATAAAAATTAGGTACCTTAATAGATTCAAACTTAATTAATTTACATCTACAAAAGACTTCAACGAGTTTTTCAAGTCACAAATAAGTACTACTTAGTATGACCTTTTACATTTTAAATAAACAAGTTAGGAAATAGTTCGCCTTGGAACGGTTGCCAATGGCCTTTTTATAATAAGAATAAACACAAAAGTATCCTTGTCTGTTTACTAAATACAGAGCTCATTTAAAGGTAAATTTATTCCGTACAAAAGTCTCAGGTCGCGAGCGTACGCGAGATGAGTCAGTACTTTCCCGGTGCATTGTTTATTCTGGACGCGAAGCCGCTCCTAAACTGTTTTCCCTTGAAATAAACTGAGCGTCTCGAAAAAACAACACCCCTTGAATATTCATCTCTAGTTAATATGAATTATGAATGACTTAAAGCGCTTTTAGTGGCTCCGTTTATTATTTATTGCGGTCTTTCATTCGTAGACCATTTAGTTACTTCTCAAAATTTTAAATGAAGCTTTATAACTTAAGTGCAATGTTGCGCTTTGCTAGTTAGCAATTACTTGTTGCAACATAAAAGCTGAAAATTTCTCTAGACGATTCATAAAAAGGCAAATCTATGCTGGCTATTCATTTTCTGATCTATCAATGAAGACATACTTATAAAGATAGCTTTCTCCACGTTTAAATTATACAATAAAGCATAACTGTAAACATCCGCTCTTACCTCCGCTTAGGCAAGTCCGTTAAAATTCCGGCGCACCGCTCCAGAGATACACAAAACACTTATTCGATTATATCGAAGCGATCAAGCGTCAGATCTCGACACCGTTATACACGTCATATGTATGTCAAATCACAAGAAAAATTCTCCTTATCGCCACTCACTCGAGACTTATCGAGAAAACTCAAAAAAAAACAACAGTCGGACACAATCACTGAGCACGGAGTTTTTATGTTCGTTCACACTGGCCGGTAGCACGATGTCACATGTGGAAACTAGATTTTGAATTTGGAACGGTGCAGGGATCGGTGCACTGCTCACTCAGGCGGTAGCTGCGCGCGCGGCGGAGGTCGGGCGATGGCGGGCATCAGTGCCGCGCAGGCGTCGTGCGTTTGCCGCTCTCTCGCGCGAGCGACTGGCGGCGCCTTCACCTTCGCGGCTCCGGCGCGCCCGCTCGCCATCGCCACGCAACGCAACCTCAGGTCTCCTTGCAGAATATCTAGTTGCATGGCAACTGAAAAAAAAATACCCATTTACCGCAATCGCTTCTCGTATTTACGAGACCGACGTCATTGGTATTATTACCATCTGAAAATATTGTATTCGAATCGTATAAAAGTCGAGGAAAATGAAAGTTCATCACGCCACCGCCGCCGTGGTAAAGTGGAGCGGTCTATTTACATTTTCGACACAATAACTTGATACTTCGGCTCTGTAAATAGAGAAGTGGTGACGAAATCGACGGTATCGTGTGGCTGTTCAATTCGTCTCGAGAACATGTCGCGTCATGTTTTCATTTTGTATTTTCTTTTAGTTGAATGTAGGTTAATCACTTGTATCTTTTGTACTTGTTACAAGCTCGCGTCTGCCTTCAAATGTTAAGGCTTGAGTAATGGCGAAAGTTCTGCACCGAGCGGCTCTTCTATCATTAAAACACCGATTCATGTTCATGTTGCTACAGAGCTTTATAAATTGTAATCCCGACTTAGTGGTTGTTTTTATTTTTTACTAAAGAATCTACTATTTGTAACATACAATTAATGAAACAAATGTCAACAACTGTAGTTTATAGGACTTTTCCGAAATAACACATTTCGTGTAATTTAAACTAATATACTAAAATGTTTTGTATACAGTTTTTGTATTTGACCTGAAAAATTGGCTGTTTTTGTTAGCTGAATGCATATGAAATTTAAACTGTTTGAATTTTATATTTCGTTCCGATAGTTATAATACTACAAACTGACAAAGCTTCTGAAATCAACCATACTACATAAAATTATAGCTTTAGCCTATATCTAGCCTGACAAGTAAATTATAGTGCAATTCGTTGCAATACTTATTACAACTGTCAAAATGGTTTGCAAATTCTTATTGTGAAAACATGCAATTGTTATTTATTCTACAATCATAAGGAGAATAGTTAATATAATAAACCTTGGGCCAATAATACTGTTTATAACTCATCTAGAGTAATAACATCCGAAAATATTAAACACGAGCTTTCGACGCCTCATTTCGTGTGGTTTTAAAAAAACAAAAGTCTATATTTTCTTCTAGACTTTTCTCTACATCTATGCCAAATTTCATCGAGATCCATTCAACCGTTTAGATAACAACAATTTCCAACCAATCCATCTATTCGTGATATTAGTAAGAAGTAAGATTACATATCCAGAACAAAAAGCTGTTATGTTTTCAACAAAGGAAATCTACAGTAAAACCTCCTTCAATCATGTTGACGGCACGTGTTAAAATCAGTACGTATTCTATTTTCGAAACTCGCTTTACGAAACAGTAATTAGCATATTATCAACAATTAACATACACTGCCGACTTTACTGGTGTGAACTTTGTTTCGTATCGCTACATAAATATGATCACGGACTAAACTTATAAGAACCTTTACATTGTCTAACAAGATAGAAGCCTAGAACTATTAAGTTATGTAATTATTATTATCACGCAGTATAACATGTTACATGGCGATAGCACAGCACGTAGTGTTACGGGGAAACTATCAACGAGCCGCTTGATACGAATGTTACATTTCGTAGCATTACACCGCGTAACATAGGTCAGTATGCACTTTATACGATTGACTTATTTTGGGAAGTACTCTAAAGTTTTTAAATAAGACTTACTTCTGCAAATCAACGTATCTATGCTAATGTTATAAATAGAAAAGATTTGTATTTTTGAATTTTCGTATGTATTTCATTGACGCAAAAACTACTGGGACGATTTAAAAATTCACTATTATCAAGGTAATTTATCTGCGAGTAACATAGGCTATGTTTTGTTTTATTTTTTAATTTTCGCGGGCAAAATCGTGAGCAACAGTTAGTTTATTGTATAAAGGTTTCAACGATATATTTTTAAGACCATCTTTTTCAGGATTTCACGACTATTTGTCTGCTCTTAGATGTTTAAGTACAGAACATAAAAGACTTTTTTCTTATTATGGTAAGTACGCTTCATCCGGTAGGAAATAGGAAAGAATTACCATTAGACGGAGGAGCGGATGTTACGTACGGGAAATTACAAGCTCATTGCGTCGAATTGAGGTCTGTACTACACGTAATACTCATTATGGTAGAATAAAAGATACGCCACACGGGCGGTGCGACTAATTTTTTGTCACCGATTTTGACGGATAACTAGCTAAAAAACTTAATGTAGTGACGCAACGAGTAACGTTCAGATGTTGAAAACAGTTGATTTTTTATTACAAAAATTATAGTCAATTTTATTAATTCTATTTGTATTGTAGCTAGGTAAAGTTCGCTTTGTAACCGCGTCGCAACCGCAACTCCTGTGTGGTGTCTCACTATAAAGAGACGCCATGGCAATCATTTTGCACGTAAATCACGAATTTCTAACAAGTGATGTAATGAAAATGTGATTTTGGTTAAGTATGTATTAAAGAGAAAATATGAAGCAATGATTTCTTTATTATAGCTTCATCGGAAGAAAGAAATTAAGCTTGAGTATACTCCATGACTGACTGTTAAGCAAATATGTTTTTTTTTTTCTAAAATGTATAAATTTTATTTATCGCTGTTCATGTCGATTTGCAGTATCAATGGAATAAATTTGTAGTACATTAAACTTTTATTGAGTCATCAAATAGAGAAACGTAAGAAAGCGAAAAAAACAAATTGAACCCAAAAAGCGAATACACGCAAATCGTCGGTAATAAAACAACATCGAGTTCCACTTATACCAACGTATAAATCTGTACGAACAAAGCCTTGATGTTACACGATAAAACATGCAAAATCTTCAAAGCTACACTAAAATAATACTCAAATACATGGATGAACGATTAACTTCTATTGAAACATAGAGTTGTCTCTATTTTTCCAAGGAAAATGTAAGAGAAAGGAATATGAAAATATAAAAAGTCAAAGATACGCATAGCTGGTTATAAAACTAATTAGACATACCATATGTTTTTTTTTAATAGCGTTTGCAAACCCGTTTGTACTGGTTTGGTTAGAATTCTTTTTTTCAGTTGACAGTAAAGATATTCATTGAAATCGTTGGCACACGTCATTTAGTCACTAAGTGATGCATAAGGTAGTCCCTTAGGGAAGTTTACATAGTAAAAATTTACATAATGAACATAGCTAAATAACCTTTAAACGTCTCTGAGTCCGATAAATATCTTTGAAACAGTCAGTCGTATTAAAATGGTTTTCTTATATTTTACATTACATTTGTTTTTTGTTCTTTTAATAACAGACGTGGAATATTAATATTTAAGTACAAAAACGTTTTAATAATCAAAGAATAAAGTCTACTAACATTTATTTAATTGAATTTCAAGTATAAAACTTGAAACATTCTTTAAATCAAATCTAATATTCTCGAGTAACGAACAAATGCAATTAATTGAGTTATGTCAAGTTATAAAGAAAATTGAATTAAAGATTTTGCCCGAGTCTAGTAAATGCTTTTGTTTAAGAGGCTACGTTCTTAAGTACATTTTCCAAGTATTTCAAAAGTGGCACTTCCATTCTTCTATTTCAAACGTTTTATAACATTTTCAGAAGATTTATTTCTTGATTTTCACAACTAAAATCTAAAATTATGATTTAAAAAAAATATTTCCCCAAATATATCCCAATAGCTACAGCTGTATTATATTAAAATTTTTATTAATATGATTCGTTGTCCCCGTGCGGCTTCATCTGCATGAAATTATGAAAATTTTATTTTATTACTGACTTGTCACATTATCAATTGCAAATGTCAAATGACATGACATGATGACAAACCGTGGCAACCTTGCTTCCTTGATGTTGGCAGCAACTTATGGTCTCTTTCCCACATTAGGATTTTATCCAAAATATTTACCCCCTAAGTTTAATGGCGTTAAAATATATAGCCTAAAGCGTGATGTAAATGTAGGGTTTTTTATTAAAGAAAGAAATATTCAAAAATATGCTGTAATTGCTGACATCTTAGGCAACAAAAAAGTGTGTTTACGCTTTATTACAATAGTATAGAAGTATAGATAAAGATTAGATTGTAAAAATTCCATTGAAACTAAACTAACATGTAGTTCGCTGTGGTAAGCGAATATCTAAACGAACATTCAATCACGTACATTTAAAATACCTGGTAAATGACATGGAATATGTACTTACATGCACGTTCTGATATTATGTTGCTATGCTATAGCTTAATTTTATTTATAAGAATATGTTAACGAACGATTGTAAATTTATTTGTTTACAATCCTAGATAGCAACAACGCTAAGAACTTAAAGGTAGGCAGAGATTAATAATTTCCATTTGCTTTGGCTGGCTTACAAGTATCATCAGGCTGGTCATCAGACCACACTGGCCCACTGCGGGTTGACTTCACACATATCTTCGAATTCCTTGCTAGACAAACAGGATGTATCACAAAAAACACTAGTTATTTTTCTCTTATTCTTTAGAAGTTTCTTTTTTTTAATGTTTATAAACAAATATCGATTTATTTGGTGGTTATTTAAGGTCCGGCCGCGAGCTCCCGTCGACATAAATAAATGCCATTACTAAATACATAATGGAACCGACGCATTAGTATTCAGGGCATATTGACTTTTTAAAAGTTAATAATTCAAACGAGTAAATTGGATTTTTATTTACGCCGGTCTGTTTTGGCTCAGTGAATGTAACTTTTTTCATAACAGCACATAACAAATAAGTATGTATTTACGGCCACTAAATTAGCGAGTAGACATTATTGAATAAAAAAAGTTTTGTTTTATCCAATACAAATGTAGAACACAAACATTTTTTGATGTCCTTACAACAATATCTGATTTTTAATAATGGAGATTAAGCAAATTATTACACTAGAAAGAAAACTATGTCCAAGGTAAATATTTTTTTTAATTAGTTTCTGTCACTAAACTAATTAACACTTATTTTAAATTTTATGGTGTTTTTATTC